ATCTGCTTAGTTACAACTAAATTTATCCAATTCTTTGGCTTGTAGATTCAAAACAGCAGCAACAACAAGGAGAACTGTCGGGCAAAAAGTATTGTGTTTTATTCTTTTGTGTAAGTCTTCAAGATTAGATGAACAGAATAAGAATATAAACACTATACTGACTCCATACCAAATTCTATTCACATCAAATTGATAAATGTGGAGATATTAACACAATGAGCTTTGGTTTCATACAGAAATGGACTAAGACTAACAGGAGTAACAAATAAATTTAGAGATCACTGTTTGTGTTGTTTGTCTACATATTTAACACTAGAACACCTTTTCAAAGTCAAATTCCTGGAAAAAGAAAAAGTAATTGAATATATGTACGATTCAGAGCATCCCAGAACAACTTGTAGAGGTTATCTGATTCCTGATTAGTTAATGTTCCTGTACCGATATCCTGTCAAATTCTGAATGATGAGATTTTTATAGCTATGATACAGAATTTTGTCTTAGTATATGTAATAGAGTACTTCAGCCCAAAGAAGGATATACAAGAGAAAAGCTTAGTCATCTTCTTTATGGCCTTCCTCCACAGGTTACAAACACACTGATGATTAGCGAGAAATGCTGCTTTCCAAAGAATCCTTGGGTCAGTAATAGGCTGTAAATTTGCAGAACTATGTGTTTCTCAGAAATACTCAGGAAAAATAATAGCAGAAGGCTTAAAATGAGGAGTTGGATAAGACTAATAACACAGCAGTCTTCCTATGTCCAACATATTCCTTGATCACTGCAGCTTCCTACCACAGAGCGTGCCCATGCTTCCACAAATGGGCTTCTCTCCCAGACTAACAACTACAATGTTCTATATATTAACAATAACATCATCTGAAAGTTTCTTAGCAGTCTATTAGTTACCAGTGACTGTGACTTTGCAAAATTACAACTGCATAGTTTACAGTAGACTAACACAGTAAAATAATGCTGTTAAAATGTTAGATAAGCATAGTTTCTATTACCAAATGCATTAAAATAATTTTCACTCTACAGCAGAAAAATCTTGATCTTTGGCTTATCAGTTATCTTCTAAAATGTTATAAATAAACTCTGCTGTACTTAATTTTAATGAATACATTGAACACCTCTTAGTAATTAGCAAGTCAGGAAACCTCTGTAACATGGATTGCATTGAATTACCTTATACCTTACTACATATACCTCCCATAAAGGTGTCACAGCAATTAATGGTATCGCAGCAATTTCTCCCTCTGATTTTTCTAAAATTACAAATTGTCTTCAGATAACCTCTGAAAAAAGCCCAGAGTTTTATTTACGTCTAACAAATCTGGTGAACCCGTTATCAACCTGCCACGTGTGAACACTCATTTCAACTGCAGAGGCGTAATTCCTTATTTTAAAAAAAATCCTTATTTTCAAAAGTTATTCATGCTCAGCAGATCTCTATACAAAATGATGAGGTCTTTAGAGCTATATATGCTCTGAATATTCTTTTGGTAAAAATTCAAGCATCGTGCTGCTTAAATATTGAGAACTGAGGACAAACAAGCATTAACTTGAAATGGGAAGGGAGTTTTTATGGTTGTGGTTATAGTGAGCTTGTCATATTTACGTAGAAGAAAATAAGTGTTACGAATATGTAAGGAGGACACCATCTGTCAGAAAAATAACACTGTAAGTGGAACTGCAACTAACTCCAATCCATTCAGGAAGAACATATCACAATAACAAGGTACACAGGGAAGCATGTAGAGAATTATAGAAGAACATCATAAAACCTGTGGCTGTTAAAATGAGGTAACAGGAAAAAAGAAGAAACAGAAGCCTGTAATAGTTGCTTTAGCTGTTCCACAGTATTTCAAAGCCTTCCTTCTACAAAATAATCAGCCTAATCACAACCTTGGTTATATTTACACAGCATATATTTAAACTGCCACTGTAAAAAGCCTTCAGCTGCCTAGTAAACTTAGGAAGGTCAATTTGGTAACTTGCTGGTTACCAAAACACACCTATGATTAAGGCTTTGTTTGTCAGTCAGCTGCAATATTCCCATATTTCAGCTTCAGCTGAATACCCTGAGAAAACTGAGAAGTGTATACATCCACTTGCTAATGTGATTTGCTTAGTCTATTAACTCTGATACCATATTTAGATTACATAATTGACTAAAATAAGACTAATGTGTCACCAGTAATACTTAAATTTTTAACCTAATCTCAATCCCTTCAAGCTTGACTTTTTGCAGTTTGACAGTGTAATTAAAAAAAACCTAATTTGAAGCAGATCAAACAATTCTTTGATGCATTCCTACAGTTTAATAACTTTTTATATTTGGATATAAGTGCTTTCCATTTTTTCATAGGTACAAGATATTTAAGTGGAAAAGAAAGTGTAGAATAAACACATACTAGAAAATGTTTAGGAATATTAACACACACCCTTTCTGTACAAACATGCCAGTTATATTTACTTCAAATTTTTAAAAATATATAAAAAAGATTGTGATTTGGTGTTTTAACTTAATCCCTGAAAGGACATTCTTACCAATAGATTGCCTCCACTCAGAAAGGCTGAAATGACAGCTGAGACCGAGCACATATACTGGAAAGCATTAACCAGAAAGAACTCTTTAAAATGTCTGGAATATTATGGATTTAAGATAAGCAAAGAATCTCAAATGAAGATGCATTTTCATTAGGAAGTAACAAAAGTAATCTAGTTGCTGCAAGAAGATATGAAGATATTATGACTATAAAATGCAAAACATATTGACTACTACCTAAAACTTATCTCTATATACCTCAGTACTGTCCCTATTCAAGCCAGGAATTCAGTAATGTGCACCACAGGTCTTTATCTTTTGAAATTCATAAATGCAACTGTGAATCATTTAAAATAAATGTTTGGATATCCAGCATTTTATCAGGAATTTTTCCTCACTTTCTTATTGATATTATAAAAACTAGAAGTCCCGGACACATCAGATACCATGGGCAAACAAATCTGGAGTAAAAAAATGGTACATGGGAATTTGAGAATGGGCTATTAGGATATTTGGGACCAGGATCCAAAATGAACTTAAAAGCCTCAGTTTCATGGTGTGAACTTGAAAGCCAAGATTTGTGTGCCTTTTCTACCTATGCAATGCAGGTAACCTGTAATGGGTATGGCTCCTGTGTCCATTTCAGAACATTAAACCATTGTGAGACAAAGCTCAAAAATAACCCTTGGCAAAGTTATCAGAAAAGTGTTCTCTTTCCCACTGGATGACCATCACAGACCTACGATAATTTTCACTGTTTGCAATCTGATTCGGTAAGTTAGAGACTCGAGAATTAAAGAGCAGGGTTTCACGTTATGTTAGGAAGAGCTTTTTCATGACAAACATCCTATGAAGGTGCATCAAGACTTCCAAAGACAACAGTAACACAGCAGTCCACAAGAAGTTTTCATGAGCAAATGAAAGAATGTGGAAGTAAGTCTAACAGCACTTACGTTCCTGGATGCTGTTTTGCCTCCTGCAAATAAAACAAAAAAGTGAAATTAAAGTAGGTAGTATCCACACAGAAACACACCTTGAGAAGTACTCCAACACAGTCTGCATTTTATAAAAGACCTACCTTCCCAGTCATGACAGACACCAATGAAAATATGAAACTACAATGAAAGCGTGTAAGATGATTCCCCAAGATGACAAGAGGACCACTCAACCATTGTCAGCTGAAGAAAGCCCACTGTGAATCTTTACTATACACCAGCTGTTACGAGCAAAGCTGCTGCCCAGGAAAGGCTCTGCACCAAATCACCCAGCACGCCAATGTTCCCTGAGCCCAGCGCCCTGCAGCATTCCCTGCCACACCCTGCCCGGCCAGGGCCGGCTCTGCCCTTCCCGCGGTGGGACGCGTTTTCCAGTGGCCTGGACATCTCACCCTGCCCTTCCCTTCCAAGGGCATTTTGTCCTGACGCGTTGGCGATGTAGCCCCAGGGGCCGCAGGGAGTGGAGGAAAAGCCCTCCAGCCCATCCACGCCTCGCACAGGGAGGGAGGGAACGTGCCCAGCAAAGACCTCTCGCGCCCGGCGCCTCGCACCGCTCACGGGGGCGGCAATGACTGCCCAGTCAGCCCCCCTCCCGCTCGCGAGGGTCCGTCCCCGCGGCCCCATCCATTATATCCCATTCCCTCCCGTCCCTCCTCACCCCTTGCTCCTCGCTCTCCACCATTGCATCACCCCCACGCCGGCACGGCTACCACGCCTCCCGGCTGGGAAACACATCCCTCCGGAACCATAGCCTCCCGCAGCCCTCCCTCCTTCTCCAGCCCCCAGCCCAAGGAAGCGCTCTCCCCGCCGCTCGCAGCGGTGGAAGAAGGGCTTCTGCGCGCTCAGAGAGCCGCGGCTTCACCCCTGCACTTCCCAACGCGCGGGCCTGGCGTGGGGGATACGGCGCGCGGAACCGATTGAGTGGGGCTGCTTGTTTCCACCCGGCGCGCCTTTAAAAGCGGCGCGGCGGCGGCCTTGCAGGTGAGTTGTGGGCGCGGCTGCGGCGAGAGCGGGGGCGTCCTACGGGGAATGGAGCTCTCTGGGCCCGGAGCGGTCCCGGGATGGAACTGTTCCGATGTCGGGCTCTCCCGGCCCCACGAGTGGCCCCGGCGCCCGGGGCTGCAGAGAGAGTGCGCGCGCGCGCGCGTGTGTGCAAAGGTTACGGCTCCGCGGGAGAGCGCAAGAAGGCGGCCTCGGTGCCCAGACCCGCTGCCTCGGGCAGGGCTGCTCCGGGGACACCGGGGGGGGCATGCCGGGTAGTGTTCACAGAAGCACAGAGTTATTACGGCTGGAAGGGATTTCTGGAGATCATCCAGTCCAATCCCCCCCGCCAAGGCAGGATCACCTGGAGCAGGTGACACAGGAACGCGTCCAAGTGGGTTTGGAATGTCTCCGGAGAGGGAGACTCCACGACCTCCCCGGGCAGCCTGTTCCAGTGCTCTGCCACCCTCAATGTAAAGAAGTTCTTCCTCGTGTTGAGGTGAAAGTTGTGTGTTTTAGTTTATGGCCATTGCTCCTCGTCCTGTCACTGGGCACCACCGAAAAGAGCCTGACACCATCCTCTTGGAACCCGCCTTTGAGATATTTATGTGCATTAATGAGATCCCCTCTCAGTCTCCAGACTAAAAAGGCCCATCTCCTGCAGTCTCTCCTCATAAGGGAGACGCTTCAGACCCTCATCATCTTTGTGGCTTCCGCTAGGCCCTCTCCGGTACTTTGTTCTTCCCCTCTGGGGGCCGTGGGGCATCGGGAGTGAGGAAGCAGCCCTGGGGGGGCGGCGGTGCCTCCCGTGTGACCGCACCGGGGCCGGCGGGAGGGACCTGCGGTGCTGCCTCTGCTCCCATGTCACAGCATCCACGGCCACTCAGTGGGTGTGGGGTGTTGTGCGTGACAGACTGAGCGCTCCTTGGTTCAATGTGTTCAGGTAAATCAGCCGTGTGGAAATTAAAACCGAAATTCTATAAACTTCTCTATTAGCTCAGCACATTGTAAATCATATTGTTAATAAATTCATAGTCGTTATAGTGTTTCTAATCATGTACCTTGTGGTTTCCATCTCCCCCCGTTTTTCTTTAGTTGGGGCAAGGTGAGAAACTTTGGGTGGTGTTTCTTTAAAAGCAGATGTTGATGGGAAGTCTTTAGATGAGAGAAATGCTTTAGTTTTACGAAAGTACTGACGTGTATGGGTGATGTGTGTGGTGGGATGGATTCGTGCTGGCCAGATGTAATGGGACAGTTTCTTTCCAGTATCTCACGGGAAATGTTTTTAACCTGGTGTTTGCACGGCACTATGGTGCACTTAGTTCTGAATCTCAGCTTGAGTTTTTTTGTGTTAAAACAAATGAAGTAGCTTTGCAAGTCTAACCCAATCCACTTGTGTATCTTAGAGTATAGCTTTTAGCCAAAGGTCAACTTCTTACTGTATTTGTTCTTTGGAAATGGTGCATTTGGCTGTTTCTAGCACTGCAATGTAAACAATTGTTCAAAGCTGCTATTTATTTGATGTTTCAATTTACTGCTAAAACCTTCAATTTACCATTTTTTAATTGATTTCTTAGTTAAGTTTACTTGATATACTACTTGTTTTTTTCCTTGACACTGTTTAAATGAAATGTTGTTGTAATAAATGAAGCTGTATTACTAAAAAAAGAATTTTTCCTTACTCTCCTTTGCTGTCACTTATAGCTGTCTTAAACTTCAAATAAGGACAAAATGTCCTCTAGAGGGAGATCTTGTTGCTTTTATGTGCTAAAATGTTGGTCACCTTGTTCCAGTTAAATGTCTTGATCACCTATCTTGGAAAGGATACGTGATGATGAATGTGTGTATCTTAATAAGTACCTGTGTTCTGAATCTGTGCTTGGAAATTTCATAACAGGATACAGAATATAATAGCCTGTCATGTAACACTTCTGTAGGTTAAGTGAAACGTAGTTGTTTTAATTCAAATAGGTCTAATTCTGAAGTTAAATGAATAATCTTTACAAGTTCCAGAGCACTACTCCTGCAGGAGAATTTGTAGGACCTACATTTGTGGCATCAATTCTGCAAATGCTTACAAAGATACCGACTTTCATGCATCACTCTCTTTTTCATCAAGATGCTTTTGAGGGCAGTTTCTTTACTGTTGTAAACCAAGAATTTCAGTAGCTGCTCTGAAAGTGTTGTGGGTTAAATCTCTTCAGCATAGTGAGTGCTAACAGCTGGGCGAGGAAACAAAGCAGAAATAAAATGTCCCATTTGATCAATCTTGGCAGTACTTTCTGCCTATAAACAGCAGAGGTTGAAATATTACTTTGCAGGCACATCAATTGTTTGAATGTAGTTAACTCTATATTCCACATGCTCAATCCAAATTACTGGAAGAATCTTGGTGGGATTATTATGAGGGTGAGTTATTCAGCATGTTACATATGCAGCCTCAGCATGAGATTTTTCTCACAGACACATGGAAAAACCTTATTCCACAGTAAAGGCATCTGTGCTCTTATTTTTCTGTAAGTAAATGCAAATAGTGAATTAGGCGTAGTTTCTGTTACGTCTGTTGTGTAAAACTAAAGGCTGTGTGGAATTTGCTCAATGGATATGGTTGGAAAATTTCCTCATACTGCGACAACTGCTGAATGGGTCAAAAATGTGTTTACTTTTTTAGTTGCCAGTTTAACCCCTACACACTTCTTTCAAGTCCTCTGTACTGTTAAGAAATAGATATTGTCAGGCTGACTCCAAAATAGTTGTAGTATTTGTATTCTTATAAATATACATACCAAACTGCTACATAATTAATTAATGTCTTTTGTGTTTTTGTGAGGAGAAGTAATACTGCAAGTAAGGTAAAGTGATTTGCATTATTTATATTGCAAGATTGTTTTCCTTTTCATACTCTTTTTCATTGTTTTATGGTATGCAAATACACTTCTGCAGTGCATTAAAAATGTATGCAAACGGCTTGGAGGCAAATGGTGGTGTGTAATTGAAGGTACAGTTGTGTTCTAATAGAGGAATAAATTCCATTGATAAACAGGAATAAAAGTTTGATGTTTTTTGTTAAGAAAGGCATATTTACATCCCTAAGTTACTCATATTGTAGACTCTTTAATGAATTGTGCTCTGAATAATAAATTCTTTATTTTAGATCATAATTTTGGAGGATTGCAGCACTGAGATCTCTGGAGTCTGCTGTGTGTAGCCATAATGAGTTCGTCACTGGTTGCTTATGAAGATTCAGACTCTGAGACAGAAACTGAGAAGACTGAAGTCCCCCAAGCTTTTGGCACACAAATAAGCTCTCAGAGGTCTTCTGTGAGTTGCGGTCAGCACTTTGCACCTGGTAGTTTGGGTAAAAAATCTACGTATGAAATGCACCCTACAGAGAACAGTGGCAGTTCTGGCACAAGCACTGTTTGTGAAGATCCTCCTGAGCTTTATGCACAGAATAATAACACTGACTTGACATCTCCTTATTCTAGCAGGGCATACTCTGGCCGTGCTGCATTATCTGTGCCTTACAGAAGCTATGAACAGACCTCAAGCTCTTCAGCAAACTCTGGAAATGGCGTTTCCCAGAAGAGAATACATAAAGACAGTGCTACTACCATAAAAGGAATTAGACCATATATCCCCAAACGATTGCGTCAGGAAAGTTCCAGTACGCCTGAAACAAAGGAATCTGTTCAGAGAGGTAGCTCAGATTGTGATGTTAAACTGGGTATGTTAGGAGAGCAGACTTCAAGAAAGATCTCTGAATTAATTAAGCCATATTTGGGATCCAAATATAAATCAACTGAAGTCCCCAAAAGCTTAATATTTTATATGTCTAAACACAGTGGCCCTGTTAATGAAATCCAGTGGTGTCCTGTACGGGAACAGAGTCACATGCTTCTCTCAGCTTCTATGGACAAAACAGTCAAGGTAATGTAAAACAAGATGTTTTGTGGCCCAATCATCAAACTTAAAAATACTGTATTAAAGAATGCTCTTCTGGAAATAACATCCTTGCCTGTGTGTGTTTTAACAGTTCCAATGTATTCAGAATTCGAGGAGATGCTTTGAAGTATAAGGCTCTATTATGAACTTACAGCCTAATTCTTCACCATACCCACAGTTAGTTCCATTACTTTGGAATTTGGTGTATTGTTTCAGGTTTTCTTTTTAATTAGTCATGTGAGTGTTTTAGACCTTAAAAAGTCAGGTTTCTACTAGGTCATTTCTCATGATCTTTACCAGTGTTTTGTCACAATGACCATAAACACTATGGTCTGCATACAGATCCTTCCTGAAGTCAGTAGACAACTGACTGCCAACACTGGAATAATATTTTGAGGAACTTTACTTTTCTGACAGGCCTACATGACTACTGCTGGAGGAGGTCAGGTGGATTTTCCATCTGAACTAGTGTGGCAAGTAAGTCTTGCATCCCAGAAAGGTGTCCTGTTGTGGTCTAAGGAGTCTTTCCACTTTAAATTTCTTTCAAGAGTTAATTGCTCCAATACTCAAAGTGTATTTTCTTTCTAGTTTTAATGTTTTGTTTGTTAATTTAATCAGTCCAATGGGTCTTTTATTTTTAAAATGGGTAATAAATAATATTGTATGTGTATGCTTTCCCAGACATAGGGCTAATTGCACCTCTGGATTCAAATAATAGTCCTCTGAAATGGTTTAACACAGGAACATAGTTCTGATAAGAGCATACAGCAAGTGTCCTTTCTGGTGGAAAGCATGCTTTGTTGCATCTAAGATGTATTTACTGTAGCAGCCACAATTATTTTAAAACTTGCTTCTAAAATTTAGGACTTTAAGTAAATCCTACTAAACAGAGACTAAACAACAGAACACCCCTTGCACCAGCATACTTCTAAAACCAAAGGAGAGAAACTGAATTAGAATTCTGATTTAATGTAGGAAAAAATAGTCTTAAATTCTCTTATTCAAATTGAGAATTTTTTCTTTAACTATTTTGCTGTTTAATTTTTAGTGGAGAATGGGATTTCATTTAGTTTGGTTTTTTAACACTTTTTTCTTATCTTAGAATTTTTGTCTTCCTTTTCCTCTTTACTGAGTTTTGCCATAGGGAGGGCCCTGTGAAATATATGCTACCTTTGCATCTTTGAAGCAGGAATGCTCTCGAATCTTGGACAGAGTTTTTGCTTTTGTCTCCAGATGTCTACTAAAGCACTTGGTGGTCACAGAAAAGAAAACCCCAGATCTATAGCATGCATAAATTTTCTCTTCCTAGTTGTTTATCTTTTATTCTCTTAAGTTATAATAAGTTCCCTGGTTCTGTAGTCAGCATAATGTATCAAACCATCGAAGTCTGAATACTTTGAACTTTTGGGAAAGATAGAATTCCTCCATCTTTCCCCGGCTTTTTTAACCTCTTTGTCTTAAACATTAACTTGGAGGAAAAAAAGTACTTTTGTTTTTCCTTGCAAGTGTTTCTTAATATATTGACTAAGTTAAATCTTGGCTGTTACTTGAAGAACAGATTTAGAAGGAAAAGACTAAGATATGCAAGAAGTGCTGATGGATGTTTTTGGTAAGCGGAAATTTAAATTTGGATTGTACAAAACTATTTTACACTACCTCTGAATTTTGATATGTTTGACTTTTTTGTCTGAAGTTGTAACACAACATAACCTCATTTTATTGAGTGAAATTATGTATGTGTTGAATATAAAACAATCTAAGTTGTTATCGCAATGTAAAACTATTAAAAAATGAAAGTAAGGGCATGTCTGTTGTGTATTCTAAGCAGAAAGAAAGATTGTTTTTGTGAAGTAGTGTTACCACCCCTGATTGGAAGCAGTCATTAACCAGTAAGGCTGTTTTTTGAAGAAATCTAACTGCTTTAGGTTCCCCAAACCTTGGAAATTCAATATAAATAGAATATTCTTATGTTGTCAATGCTTCAGAGCACGCGAGTGTAAAAAAATTACTAAAGTACTAATGTAACTGTTAAACAGCATATGAAAACACACTTCTATGTTTTTGAAGGTAGCCTGTAGAGAGGTATCTATGGGTGCTTCTTACTGTTCTTTCCTGAACCTTTTAATTATTGCGCTGTCACACACAGACCATCCCGGCCAGCAGAGGGCGCGGTGGCATCGAGGATTACCGGGATGTTGGGAGCCCAATTTCCCTCACTTTCTGGGATCATGAGCCCATAAATCCCTGGTGACTGTGACAGCAGTGCTTTATCTTCTGGGGATTTATTTGCAGTCTACCGCTGCCTGAAGTTGCCCATTTTCTGGTATAAGCATAAAAAAACTGATTGAAAATGCAGATGTACTGTTTTTTTCCCCCTTATCCTTTAACTTCCCACAGCTTACCTTTTTTGTTGTTTTCTTCCCAAAACACCTGCTTGGAATTGCTAGTTTAAGTCCAGGCAGTGGATGCATGTCTTCTTTACGTCTGATGGGAATATGCAGACAATCAGGATGTTTGCACTATTTACTTTCAACATTTGATTAAGATAAAACTCAAAGCACAGCTAGAAGTCTAAAATTCCTATATGATCAGAGACAGTAGGCAATCCAGAGCCTCAACACTCTGTACTTTGAGTACAGAATATATGAATAACTGTGACTGAATAGTTTTATGTGTAAATGTCTTGGATTCAGTCCTTACATTCAGCCTATGCATTAAGACATTTATCCTTTGAAGAGTCCAATATTAGTGAAGATTTCTCAGAATTGAGAGTTCTAAGTTGATATGACTCTGATAGTTTGTGCTTAAATCAGAGATCTATAGTTGTATGCAATTTGTATAGTGTTTAGCCAGTTTTGTATATTTTATCTGTTCTTGTGTGCTTAAATGTTTTCCTCTTAAATTTTTATCCCTAACCTCCCCCCCCCTCGCCCTTTGGCATAGAGAAGGAAGAGGCACTTGCTTTAGTTACCTTACTTTAGTGACTTTAATTTTTTTTGTCCCATGTAAATTACTATGGCTAAGCCATTAATATCACACAGATAGGTATCTAAAATGCATATATGAAACTGATTATATGGTTTCTTACTTTTTAAATGTGTGTGCTTATCCTGTTTAAATCAGAAGAAAAGAACAGTCTTCCATTTATGTTCTCTCAGGTTAACCAATGTACATTTTAACATCATCTTTATGAATCAATGTAAATCATACTAAAATATTTACAATAAATGAGTCGATGTCTGCAGTTTCTATTGACTGAAGCATAGCCTAGAGTCAGGGAAGATCATCCAAAGCATTTTGTATAAATATTTTGCATATTTAGGAATGAATGGACTGTTTTAGAGGACTTCATAGTTTTCTTTGAAAGTATTTGATCTGAATTTTTTGCATATGGCTGCATTTGAAAAACCTCAAACAGTTATCAAGTGGTTGAGTTGAAAAAATTATTAGTTATCAGCTCGGGGTGTGATTCTCTAGAGTAACATTTCCACCAGCAGATGGGGTGCCTCGGCCTATTAGAAAGTGATGGGAACTAAACTGTGCCTCTAAAGACTGGAAGACTTTAATATTTGCCTCTATGTTGTGTGTTGAAAGACCAAAGTTACAAGTTTATGCATGTGTTGGTAAACATATAAGAAAACAACTGAGTTTTCTTAGAGACCTGAAAATATGATAGAACTTCATGTGGAAAGAGATACGTATTGCAGATTAGTTACCCACAGTTCTTCAAATCTGGAGCATTAATAGAAGAATATTTCATGCTAAATTTCAAATTTGTAAGGAATGGGGAAAAAAACCCCCCTAGTTATGTAGGTTTTGTCAAATTTTTTACCCTCTGTTTTTGTAGAATTTTTAGCTTCCCTTTGAAAGCTCCAGCCTAGGTAGCTGTAGAAAAGGACAGAAACCCTGATTCAGGGTAGGGAAAAGTACTCTTGGGAGCTCTTACTGTGGCAGTGCTATTCTTCACAGTTGCATTCTAACTGTATTAGAGTGGATTATGTTTTTAGCTTTATGTATTTTAAGGATTGTGAAACATTATTGTCTGAACTGATTACATTTGTTTTGTTTGAGTAACACTTCTGTTTGAATGGCTGCCGTAATTGAAATTTAGGCTACTACTGCCATTATTTTGATTTTCCTACTAAAACACCAAAATAGTCTTTGTGATTTTAATATCTCATCTAGTGTTTTTTGCATGAATGTTGAGACACCATTATTAAAGGTGCCTGGTTCCTGTAGCGTGGATATACAATGCTTTGTATATCAGACCTTGTTTAGGTATTTCTGGTTTAGAACCCCAGCTACAGAATCCAGAATCACAGGTTACCATTGAATACAGCTGCTTGCCTTCCATAGCAGGGAACATTAAAAAATTGTGTCTTGAAAGATGTGTTTACCAGTTGCAGAAATGACAATACTGTTCATTCACGTTGACAGTGTCTTATATTTGGAAGACCTTGTCATTACATAGAGCCACACAGACGTTAATGTTTTCACTACTTACTGATTCTGGACTTAACTTTTTAACAATTGTTCATAACTTCAAGCCTCCTATGCCTTTATTCTGTATTTCCTATTTTTGTCTTTAAAAAGATGTTACCTGGAGTTAATTTTTAATCATCTGTTAGCTTTTAATTTTGTGTCCTTGATTTTTTTATTTAGAGCATCACAGCAGGGATTATGTTTGTTGCAGAGTATTTCTTAATTTTCAGCACTTTCATTCTCTGTTGTTAAACAGGATCAAGGAAAGAAAGTGCTGAGATTCTTGAGTGTGCAAAATGTATATTAATAGCACTTTGATGGGATGTCTTGTCTTGTAGTACATTGCTGGAAGTTTTTCTTATACATTTTTTCCCTACTTGCCTCACTGAATGTTATTTAGTCACAGCTGAATCTATACAAGCAAAGCAAAAGTTTTTAAAATGAGTGTGGTGGGTTGACCTTGGCTGGATGCCAGATGCCCACCAGGCTGCTCTATCACTCCC